TCCTGCTCGACGCTCACGCGCTTCTCCGGCTCCCGGTGTGAATGCACTCATTGATTAACATGCACGCCAAACAAAAAATAAAACGCGCTGCTCCCGCTTGCGGTGTGAAACGGCCGTAATTCACGAGGTTTCCTACATGTGCGCGTTCCGTGTGCACGTGTGATGCTGATGTTGCGCGATGTTAATCATGCGGCGCCCCAGTGCATTTGACCGGCATAAAATCGGATTATGTCAGACTGACCGGCCGGTCGCCGATCATGGCCGATCACGTGAAAACCGGCCGATTCCGGTCACCAGCCGATCAATCGGTGCATCTCTAGTTTGTACACAATGTACTGGGAAATGGTCTGTGTTGAATTGGGTGACATTTAGCATTTATAAAATAATGTTCTTGAATATGTTGGCAGACGATCTGCATAAATATAACATGGTGCCACTAGCCGTTAATGTGTAAAATGATCCTCTTTATATTTTTATTAATAAGTCTTGTATTTTGTCATTATTAGTATACATCTAGATGGGAAATACATTGCATGAATCCATCAAACCTTATTGTGAGTTGAACAGTTGAGTCACTTACTGAGTCAGGCTATTTACTGACTTGGTTGTGTTTAGGACAGTATAGTTAAATATATGTATAATAAATGGCATTTTAACAGTAAGAATACTACAACAATTCAGATTGCTTATTTGAGAAATGGGAGGAGGGGTCAGTGACCTCCTCTGCTAAATCAAAATTCTGTAGATGTGAAAGCGTTGTTGTTAGTGATGGATGACAGGAATGTAATTGTAGAGGCATCAAGATAAATTAAGTTTTTCGATCTCTTTAGATGGCATTGTTAATGGTGTGGTTTTTTTTGTGTGGAATTATTGAACCAGATAAAAGCGTCTTTTTTCTGAGAATGTGCTTATAAAAGGATTTTTTTTTAGTGCTGCAACAACTAATCAATAACGAAAATAGTTATTACAATGCAATTGTATACAGTCTTTGTGCTTTGCATGGAGCACCTTCGTCAGTGGTGTTGTGCTACTTAACAGTTCTTAAAAACACGTTTATGGGTAAAAACCTGGCCTCAGAGGAATAAATGTGAACTAAATGTTGTTCAAAGAGTGCAAAGCATTAAATATTAAATTCTTCAATAAGGTCATGAGCATAAAGTTTCATGTTGCTAGGTTGCGGTCACATGTGTATGGGCAGTTAGTTGCTGTTGAGATGCTTTCATCAAACTGTTATATTCTGTAAACTTTCATTAAAGTTACTGTTTGTATGAATATACCATTGCATATAGGATTTCAAGTTTTCAACTATGGTTATTTCAAAACCCAAATGTGATTTTTAACAACAAAGATGGTTAAAATGGTTGCACTCTCAAATAGTTTTTTTTAACTTGTTATGGTATTTAATCTCTTGCTGTTAGGATGCAAAATGGAATTTTTTTTCCCCACAGAAATGCACTTTCCACTACTTTGTCACAGATGGAGGTTTTCTGTAAATAGCACATATTAATTAACAATTTATTGATTACTTGTTGCAGACCTATTTGTACAACTTGTTTCTTTGACTTTTATTAATTCTTAGTAAAAAGCCCTAGATGTTAATAAGTGGAAATAAGTTAATGCAGCCTCTTATTTACATAAGGGTGAGGTAAACATAATGTTGCTTGGTTTATATTTCCAATGTATAATTGCTCCCACTATAACAGCGTTTCAAATGTTGTTTATGTCCTTTTTTCTCTTTCTCCTTTTTGTTGTCACTGAGCTGGATTGGTGATGAAGGATCGTTCTTTTAAATACTTTCCAGCATTTCAGTAATACGTTATCGTAAAGAATTTGTGGATTTTGAAGTGATCTCTTTTTGTAAACTCAGTGATTTAGATTTGGACGGCAATTAAATGACCACACGAACTTGGTGTTTGTTAAAAAACAGTAGGTAATTCGGCCAGGGATTTTTACATGGGTGGTGCGAGAAAAACACTCACATTCTGGATTCAGACAGCAATAAAATGAAAATGATTTTTGAAGGATCATGGAGTAATGACTGATGAAAAAATCACTTTTGACGAGTATTGTGTGTGTGTGTGTGTGTATAAATATATAATGTTTTTGAAAAAAAGGCTCTTATGCTCATCAAGGCTGCATTTATTTGATCCAAAATTCAGAAAGAAATGTAATATTGTAAAATATTACAATTTAAAATAATGGTTTTCTATTTCAATAAACTTTTTGACAAACACCAAGGTTGTGTGGGAATTGAATTGCTGTCCGTATAATATAAATTAATATGAATAAAATACACAACCACAAAACAAGATTTCACAATAAAATTTGGAAATATAAATATTTGGCTCTACCAACCTGAAAAAGTCCAAAATAATTTTTTAACAGTTGAAACTTGTTTAAACGCATTGTTCTTGACTCCAAAATATGCATACATTTGGGGAAAAAATACCTTTTCGAATTTTTATTTGTCATTGACCAGAATACACAAATTGAAGATCATTGCACACATCGAGATGGTTGTGATTTATTAAACTGAAATGATGATCTGGAGCAGAGGCTCAGTGGGTAGTACTGTCGCCTCACAGCAAGAAGATCCCTGGCTGGGCTGAGTCAGGACTCAGGAGACTTTTCTGTGTGGAGTTTGCATGTTCTCCTTGTGTCTGTGTAGGTTTCCTCCTGGTGCTCCTGTCTCCCCCACAATCCAAAAACATGCAGTATAGGTGAACTGGAGACGCTAAATTGTCCGTATGTGTGAATGAATGCGTGTGTGAGTCCCAAAGCCATGTAATGGGGAGGAATGGGGAAAGACCTGGCAACCAACCCCTGAAAACAATCATTGCCAAAAAAATTCATAGTCTTTCGCGAATGGCATGAATGGCTGTAGAATATGACTGAAATGGTAGTAGATAGATAGAATGATGATGATCATGGCAGTGAGATTTAACAGATGGAGTTTCTAATATGTATTGCTTTTTTATTACCTTCTGTAGTGGAAATGATGGTGCTTTAAAGATAGCTTTTACTAATTTCACACAGAAAAGAATCTTAAAAGAATCTTAAAATCTAAGAATCTGAACATAAAAGGGATTTAAAAATATATGTAGGCTAACACCAAGACAGTTTTACTGTGAATGTTATGACAAAAAAAATATATGCATGGGCTATTTACAGGGCTCCAGACTAACATTTAGCACTGGTGCCACGCACGGGTCCTGTTTGATAAACCCGAATCCGGCCCGCACCCGCAGTAATTAACAGAAGACCCGACCCGATATCCGACAGAAACACTCATTTTAGTCTGTACCCGACCCGACCTGTTTGACATAAAAACAATCAAACTTTTATTCAAATTGTGAATATATTAAATAGCCTACATAAAGCGTGCTCCCTTTAAATAAGCACGGGACCATTGGAAAGTATCTCTCAAATGCACTAAATTGAGTTGAAATAGTCTTGGCTACTGGACCCGCAGTACGACCCGCACCCGACACCCAAACATTATTCCACCCGTTACATCAAATATTAGTGGGTCGCCCGCGTGCAGGACACTGAGAGATGGTGGCACCAGCCCCTGATTTGGTAGCGGTGGGGGGAAAATGTATCAAAGTTAATTTATTAATAAAATTACTATTGTTTTGCATTCATATTACATGTTTGTTTGTTGGAAATTTCATAGTGAAGCACTGAGCTTGAATTAATGTGCAGCTTTAATTAACTTTTATTAACAAAAGTAATGTGCAAAAAACTTATTTTTATAGGGAACATTCAAATATTCTACTCCTATTAAATGTACCATTGCTCTTCTATAGTATCATACTGAACTGACCGACAGCTTCAGATTCTAAAAGGAAAGCTCTTGTCTTTATTGCTTTCTGTGCAATTCAGTCACAATTTGAAGAAAAGTTTGTTTTTTATTAGACTCCTTTTCCATATATATTAGGCGGTGGAAATGGCTAATAAGTGCTCCTCTGCCGCCATTTACTGGTTATAGTGGTAATTTAATGTCTTTTTAAAATAAAAGTGCTTGTTTGCCACAAAAGTGTTAGCTTTCCTTCATCTTTAAACTTTTAGTTTGAAAAAAACATCACGTTAAAAATACCATTAAAATTGGATAATATTTAGAGGTTTGAAGTGGTGGAAAAAGTGTGAAGCCCTTGAAAAGCCTCAGATGAATCATGTAAAAAAAAAATATTGTGGCAATTTCTTCCACAATACCATGGTTGCAGTTAGTTTTACTACATTAAATCCATGGTGAATGTTGGTCATTTGTGGACTGAAACGCCTTCTATAACTTCGTTCATGGCCCTGTGTTTCTCCGGGTTTCCACGTCAGTGCTATTTGATCTGATATGTGTGGTTTATAACAGAATTGTGAGCCTAATGCTTCCCACTAGATCTTGCAGCGATGTTATTCATCTAGCTGCAAATACAAACACTTTCTCACTGGATCTTTCAGCACCGTGTAACGGTGTCGCGTGATCTGTTCTGAGCTCCCGCTGTGCTGTCTATTAGTGCAGCTCAAGTGACTAGTGGGGTTTGGTTTCGTTTGATGTTTCTCATATGTAACAGAAATGGCTGCTCTTATCAGTTGGCCAAAGTGGTTGGTCGCACCAGTGCGACCTCTTAACAAAATTTAGTCGCACCGGCAGGAAAAAAAGGTTCCAAAATGCAATATATATATATATATATACAATATTAGTTAATACAATACTCCCCATGGGCCATAAAAGTAGTTGAAGAAACACCCATATCTTGTTGGTCTGATGAAAGTAGATATATTTTGATAATAGGTGCTTGTAATGGATTTTTAAAGAGATTGCTGAAATTTGTGACACTTATTTTGGGATGAATTTCGTGAATTTTTACACTTCATTATGGTTTGCCCATCTTCACTAATATTAGACAAAGGTCTTGCCATTATAAGTGGACCATTAAACTAAGTTTTTTTTTTTTTTTTTGATGATGATGATGAAGTTAAACTTTTCCTTGTTCTTTTCCCAGCGGATGCAGCACACAGGCTCAATCTCTTCTATCTGGCGAATGATGTCATTCAGAACTGTAAAAGGAAAAATGCCATAGTCTACCGCACCACTTTCACTGATATGCTACCAGAAGCTATGAAGCTCATCAGGTGAGACTGCGTTTCTCAAAATCATCGTTAGCCAACTATGGTCACAAGTTTCGTCGTTGCAAACATAGTTCAAAAATTTGGTCCAACAAATCCAGTGAATGTGCAAACAGCATTGCACATTTACGTGGTTGGAACTACAGCTCTCGAGCTGTTTAGAAGCATTTCTTGTTAAAAGACATGTGGACTTAAATAGATCATGATCTTGGGCTTATTAATAAGCAAGCTAACATGCAGTGCATTCTATATCATTAATTCAGTTTGAAGCTGTAGAATATAAACATTTTAATCTATATATTTCAGCGTTTAACTTTTTTGAAAAGTGCAAGGGAACTCCGGAGTATGATGCATGAGGGAACCCGCAATGAAGCAAAATGACATGGAACAAAAACAGTGAAGTAGTCATTAGGTGCCATGTTTGTTACAGCATCGTGGAGATCTCGAATAGATTAATCAGTTTAATCCGAGGTTATTACTCCTCTACCTGCACGTGACGTCCTATATTGTTGAACAAATGTGGTTCAAACAATGGAGGTGCGACCATGGTACTACGGTTTCAGCAAACAGTCGTGGCTAGTTGGTTAGTTTCTCAAATGATGCATCGTGCTGTGGTCGTTGATCAGCGAGCTACATCGTTGTATGGGAAACACACCCCAGATTTCTACTGCATGGCCACACACTTTCTCGACTTTCCTAGGTCAGGAAGTATTTTTCCCCGATTAATTTTCGAAATTCCACACAGTTACCCAATAAAGAGTTGGCCAAACCAACCATCTCCACAAAACAATGTTTTGAAGCTGGTTTTTTTTTCTTTTCTTTTTTTTCACCTTTCATAATTTTTCCCCCCCACTTTTTTAAATTAGGTGTCATTTATTTAAAATAAATACTAAGTCAAATGTTCTATGTAAAAAAAAATAATGCATTTGACAATTCAGTCTAGAATAATGACATACAATCAAATATCAGTCAATACATCTGAATGATACATTATTTACATATATTTTTAGGAATCATATTCATAGAATAAATCATGGTTGACCGTAAATGTGAAATATATAAAGTGTTTCTACAATGACTTCAGTGACTGACAACGGTTTTGTCTGATTCTGCATCCAATTCACAAGTAACGGGTGCTTTTTACTAAGTACTGTAAATGTGCATTGTAGATGTGGTTGCTTTATTAAATGTGACTCATTGCATGGAAAATATTTTCCAAAATCTATCATGTTGGATTGTGTGAAATTAACCTTATGAATCTTTATAAATGTATGTGATTTCCCTTCAGTGCCACAAAGGATTCTAAGGTGAACAAGTCAGTGGTGAGGATACTGTCCATTTGGGAAGAGAGAAATGTCTATTCCGAGGAGTTCATCAGTCAGCTGAGGAACAATTTGGTTCGGAAAGAAGAACCAGTGAAAGGTCTGAATTGCACTAGGTGTCATATGATGCTTTTTAATGTTTTTCTTTTTCCTTTAGTGTGAATACATTCCTTTAATGTATCTGTTTGTGCATGTATACGATCTGCACTGTTACACAGATTCAACAAAGTTTACAAATGCTTTAGAAGCCTTGAATATGGTAAGGAGCGTTACATTTCTGACACACAGTTGAGGTGTTTGACCAATCACAACGCACAGGGTCAGCTGGCCAATCAGAGCACTCTGAGCTTTTCAGAAGGACTGGCTTTGTAGAAATCAGCGCGTTTTAGAGAGACTGGGAATAGAGGAGATACAATAATGTGAAAAATGTATGTGAAAAATAATGTTTTTTAACCAATTCTTTCTCACCCTTAAAATAAAATAAAATAAAATGGCATCATATGACCTCTTTAAGGATGTGTTAATGTTGCTCTTGAGAGTATTTTATGTGCCTGTCAGTATGTTACATTGACAGTCTTTAGCATTTTAATATGTTATACAGTGTGGTTTAATGTACTAAAAGGTAAAAACTTACACATTTTTATAATGAAGTTATGATTTTAGTTTCAGCTCCAGCTCCAGTCAACACCAGATCAGCCCTGAAATCCAAGATTGTCGCTGAGTTTGTGGTAAATATTCAATATTCACACCAGACTTGAATGACTCTGTTGGCCCCATTTTTTTTGGTTGGGAAAAAAGTTTTCAATTATTTAACTTCTAACCTACTTGTTTTTATTTTGACCTGTCAGCCCTCAGCGTTTATCGAGCATCTGTCCACGTACAGGAATTCAATGGATGAGATTGAGCTCAAAGAGAAACAGTTAGCTGCAATGAGAGTGGATGTGTGCAGCACAGAGGCCCTGAAGAAACTGAAAGGTCGGTAAACGGTATCTTTTTAATATTCTGAATTTGTAATAAATGGATCTGCATGAATTATATAGATATAATTTTTCACATGTTCATGCTTTTGTTTTTTTCTGAATCTCACACTTTAGACAAGGCAGGAGGTAAAAGGTTTTCTAAAGACTTTGAAGACGGGAGCACAAAGCTACAGGAGTTTGTTTCCTTTCTGGATGGAGAGGTGAAAAAAGGCCCTCCTTTGATGGAAGCTCTGGAGAGTGCAGACATTTTCTACGAGATGCAATATAAAGAGGTCAAGATTGTGGCTAAAGTGAGTATTGCAGATTAGTTTAAAGTCCCCCTGTAGTGAATCATTTTCTCCCTTAAAACTCATATTTGATCACCAAAATTACATATTGAAATGTTTTTTTTTCTTTGATTACAAATTTCTTTATGCCTTAAAATAGCTTGAATGCAACCCCACACCTGTGCCTCATTTAGTATACGTGGTTCTATGAATATGCAAATGAGCCCCGCCTCCACTCACTCACACCAGCTCAGAGATCCACTCGTTTGCGATCACGCGTTGACGTGATTGGTTGCAAGGTAGTTTGTGACGTCAGAAACACCAGCGATTTCAAACCACATTTTTGAGACTGTCTTTGGTTCACTGCAGTTTTAAGGAGAAAATACTCAGCAAATATGTTGACTTATGAATTTGCTCATGGTTTGTCTTAATTAAAAACACCACATAGACATATAAACAACATTAAAAGCTTGATTTTCACCACAGGGGGAATTTAATTATATTTTTGGGTGCAATTTGAAATGATATTCTTAGTAAACAACATACATTAGCTACACTCCTGTACAAAATAATCTACACCGCAATTTTCTGTGTTTGTTGCCTGATATTACTAAATGTATGAATTCTCCACACTGGTAGACTGGAATAAATGTAAAGAGCCATCAGGTCATTTTAAAATGAAATGGCTGCGTAGGAAATAAGTAAAACGTTGTTTTATATATATTTCCAAAAAGCACTTTATGAAATCGAATTATTTCCGTTTGCTTCAACAAGAGCTCTTCATCTCCTCACTCACAGCAGCCTCAGGTCTTCCAGCAGACTCATTATTTCAGTGCACATATAAAAAACTATCTTTATATTTGAAAGCAGCAAATAGCCCTTTCAGAAGTAATGACCAAATGCTCATTTAATGCTTTTAGTGGTTTCAGCTGCATTGTGCCGCAATTGAATTTGTACAAAAACAAAGACATCCTGACCATTATGTAGCAATGTTGTTTTATTTAGCCTGTCTGAGACGGCCACAATGGACCATTTCATAAAAATATGTGTATAGTTTTAACCCTTTTACAAATAATTGTTGAAAATTCCACATTTCGGGGATAATTTCATTTGTGGTTATTAGTTTTGCCAGGTTTAACATGTTTTTGATAGTGGTAGACAGTATATGATAATATAATTAGGCCTGGTCGATGAGAATTATTTGTGGGGAGATAGATATACTTGCTCTGACATTTTCATTGTTTTTTTATTTTTTTGTCTTAATGTCTTACTTGATCAATGTAATGTATCCTTGCTGAATGAAATCCTTAATTTCTTTGAAAATAAGCTTACTGACCCCAAACCTTTGAACAGTAATGTATGTTTGTATTGTTCATATTGTTGATGTGCAAATATTGTGAAACAAATAGTGGAACATCTCTTCAAATCATACATTTCCAGGCCTACGAGACATTTGCGAACCGGGTGTCGCACCTTAAGCGCAAACTCGATGCAATGAAGGCCATGGTACCTGATCCAGATGACTCCCCCGTCCCCTCTCCCATTGAAGATGCCCCTTCACCAACGGGCTCCGTGTCACCCTTCGACGCTCTGGAAAGGATTGGTACCCCAGACCCAGAGCTGGATGGGCAGGCGATGGAGGAGGACCTTATTGCTTTGGCTGATGCTCCCAGCCCCCTCTCATCTGATGGGGGTTCCCCACCACCAAGTGTCTCTGTGGGAGAAAAAGACAATCGTGACATAGAGGACATGGAGCTTTCGGATGTAGAGGAAACAGAAACTCCTGCCATCATAGGTACTATAGCACCTTTACTATGTTACATTTGGCATTCAGCATGTTTCTCACATTCAATAAAAGCTGATGGTTAAGCTATTATGGTGCAGGGTTTTATTAAATTACATCTTAATTTTGTTTCCTCCTTACAGTAGAGGAACGTGTGGCCCCTGCTGTTGTGTCCAAACAGTCCTCTGTCTCTCCAAATGTCACAGAATCTTTACAAACAAATGAAGGCACACAAACAAAGCAGATCATGACCACAGCAGTGGCAGTTCCCTCAACAGTAACAACAACCACAACAACCACAACCACACCAACCACACAGTCACTGCCAGTCAACCTTGCAGGCGTTGATCTGGGCAAGATCAGCTCCATCCTCAGCACAATCACAAACGTTATGAAGAACTCAGGTGAGATGTTGTAGTTTGATTTGTACAGCATGTTATTCACAGGTTGAAAAAGCCTATCAAAAGTGCATTCTGGTCAGATCCATGGCCCAGGGGTAAGCCATGGTGCGCATTTGAGAGATGCAGGTTTGAATGTGGCCTGTGTTGTGTCTCGCTCTGTATCCACTCTGCTACCTGTTAGTTAAAAAGTGTCAAAAAAGCCCGAAAGTAGAATAATTTACATGATAAATGTACATTTTTATGTAACATCATGCATTCAATCATTGCTTTTTCCTTTGCAGCTGTAGGAGTAAGTCCTGTATCTCGGTCTTCCCCAAGTGTACCTTCCACTCCAAGCTCAACTCAGAAGACTCCCCCTGCTACTGCCCCTCCAGCCAATCCGCTGGCCAGCATCCTTTCTAGGGTGGACATCAACACCAACACTCTGCTCAGCGCTTTATCCAAAACACAAACCCAGGGGGGTTTTCAGGGTGAGAGCTGGAAAAGTAAGATGATATCCAAAGAGTTGGGATAATAAATTCATGGACATAAAAGTAGTCAACCTGAAATCAAAATTAACTTTAGTTTTCTTCTAATACACGTTTGCAGACTCACGTAGTGTGACTTCATCAGCATATGCTATTCAGAAGAAAACATGTTTTACTTTGTAATCTTATAAAAATGTAATAACTTGCTCCACCTTTGAAACTAAGTCACCTAGGCCAGTAATCATGTTAATCAAAAGCCAAAAAGCTAAATGACATTTTAAGCTGTTGTTTTAGGTAATATGTCTTTTCGATAATGTTGCTCATAGTTAATGCGGTTATTTAATGCAGGTTAACATTACTAAACTCAGCAAAAAAAAAAGAAACTTCATGACAGGAATCATGATATGGTTTATTGTGATTGATTGTTAAACTTCAAAGGGTTATGATTAGGGATGCACCGATACTATTTTTTCAGATCCGATACCAAAAATTCTGAGTATCGACCGATATCGATACCGATCTGATACCAGCACAATTTTTTTTTTTTAATCAAGTAGAATTTCTATAACTCTGACAATAAATCAAAAAGATTTTTTGCATCTATAAAATTAAGAATTTTTTTAAATGTATAGCACAGCTGTTTAATGAGGCAGCAACATATGATAGATAGGACAGAACAAGAAAGGCTATTAATAATCTTTCATTGCGCAAAAGTATTATGATATGAAAGACTCCAATACAGTGCGGCACAGCTCGAGCTCTTCGAGTCCGCATTGAAAAGTTCAAAGCACAAAGGAAAGATATTGATGCGTAGTGTATTATACAGTATCTATCTATGCAATAGTTGAGCCTTTTCTTTTAACAGTTTTAAATTTCAGTTACTGTGCGCGTGAAGAACAATTATATGGCGCTTTTCCACTGCATAGTACGGTACGGTTCGGTTCGGTACGGCTCACTTGTGGTGCTTTTCCACTGCATGGTTCGGTACGGCTCGCTTCGGCTCGCTTTAAATGGTACCTGGTCTGTTGAGGTTCCAAGCGTACCGTACCGGTACTAAAATGTGACGTAAAAACACTGCTGATCACTGATTGGTCAGACAGAATCGTCACTACCAGCGTCATTGGACACTAAACCCGCTAGATTTAAATAACCAGTAGACAACAGCCAACGCGGTAGCATCTGTTTTTTAAACTTTAAAAAGAAATGGCTGAATCGTGGTCAGTGGACGAGGTGCAGACGTTCCTCTCGTTGGTTGCCGAGGAGCGGATCCAGCGAGAGCTGGATGGGGCAAAACGGAATGAAAAAGTGTTCCAAGAAGTAGCTCAGCTCTTAGCCGCACACGGCTATCACCGGACCTACAACAGTGTAGGGACAAAATAACGATCAGTCCCACCCACTTTGAAGAGGTACTAACTGCGGTGGAAAAGCAACCGAGCTAAAGCGAACCGAACCGTGCCGTACCGAGTCGAGTCGTACCACGCAGTGGAAAAGCGAAGCGAGCCGAACCGTTCCGTGCCGAGTCGAACCGTACCGAGCCGAACCGAGCCATACCAGCAGTGGAAAAGCGCCAATAGTGCTCTCTACTCCTGTGTTGTGATCTAACAGACACCCGGTAGAAAGTGATTAAGGTACATCAATAAAGTCCAGAAAGATAAAGTCATTTTATGTGAAACCATAGACCATATTATCAAGTATAATAATAGTAACATTGAATCATCTTGGAGAGTTTCATCATCTTGACTGTCGTAACCAAACGAAAAGTTTACGTGATCTTGAATTTAATGACTTAAATATTAATTTCGATCTCACATTATACTATAGAATGGCTTCAGAACACTTATAATAATATAGTGCACGAAAACTTTATGGTGCTTTATAATGTTTTTGTGCCTTTTGTGGGGCTTAACAATAACACAGAATAGTATACGCATATCGAATTTGGATCGGCATCGTCTGACCGATACCCGATCCGGCCAGGAATGGCAGTATTGGAACCAATACCAAGTATCGGATCGGCGCATCCCTGGCCTCTAGCTATGATTATTTAAATGTGCGCCCCCTCTGCATGTTTTAAAATAAATAACACAGTGCTGCTGCGCGTTCTACAGGCTCTGCAATCAACAAATACAGATTTATGCCAAGCGATTGAGAAGGGACTTTGGGTAACTTTCTCATGGTGTTTTCAGAGTCAGTTGAAAGGTTTCTTTAATGTGATAAGTTATTGGAACTGTGACCTTAATTGTCTACTGCCTGTAAACTGTTAGTGTCTTAAGGCCTTTATTTGCAATAATTATTTATGGTTCATTGACATAGCTTGATTTTTTTTTTTAAACCCAAGATACAGAATTCTGTAAAAAGGATGTTTCTTTTTTGCTGAGTTTATTGTTAAGGTTATGGCATATAACAATGGGTCTGGGGAAAAATAAAGCATTGGGATATCATGTATAGGCAATGACATTGGGATACATTGCGATGCTTTCAAGGGTGAGCTTGACCTTTAGCCTCTATGTGCCAAAAGTTGGTGCCAGACAGGTTGTGTTTCAGGAGCAAAGTAGCCCTCCACAGTCGAATGCGAACTCCCATTCAGTCATTTCTTTATTCTGATACTTTTGCCCACAATTCCTAATGGATTCATTCCCACCCTACTTTTTCTTGTTGAATATACTGTTTACATAGAAATGTCACATTACAGAAGTTAAATGTGTTGAGAATGTTGTATCATGTTGATTTAAAACGTTATAGACCTTTTGCCTAGTTGTGGTAGAAACAGCAAATGATATTAGAAAAGACACTGTACAGGTTCTTTAGAAAATGGTTTGTGTTTTTAAATTAATCTGCTGACCCTTGCGTCCCTATCCCTATTTTTCTTTTTAATTTTTCCTCCCAGATCTGTCATCTTTGCTAAATAACCCGGCTGCAAAGACCACCACAACTTCAATTTCTGACAAGCAATCTCCTCCTCCTCTAACAGCAGAGACTCATACAACTCCTAAAGTGTTACCTACTCCATCTAGTGTCCCATTGGCCAGGGATCCTACCTCTCAAGGATGTGTGGAGCCTACTCCTTTGCAGGCCAATATTTCGAATGAAAAAGTAGATCCTGGCTCTTCTCTCAACTCTACCCTAGACTGCAAGATTGATAACTTACTCCAAGGGAACGCAGGACTGAAAGGCATTAATTTAGGATTTCCATCTATTCTGCCATGGCCTAAGGTAACTGTTGATAGCCCTTCAGCAAGTGCAGACAACCTTGGAGGAACCCCTGTAAGGGATGAAGCTGGTGCCACACCAACGCAAGACGAAATTATGGATGATCCCCAAACAGAGCCATTCCCATATCAGCAGGGGCAAACAGTGTCTACGTCCACAGCTTTAGATGCTAAATCAACACCTTGGCAGGTACAAAATGCTCACACTGATCCACAAGCTCATATGGAAATTCACCAGAAGTTTGAACCAAAAAAAGACTTTCGAACCTCTGTGCCCTCTCTTGCCGAGGCAGAAGCAAAGCGACATCAACTCATTGAAGCTATGCGTTCTTCTTCTATGTCCAGCAACCAACAACCTTTGAGAGACAGTGTAGAGGCCACCGAGAGATCCGGTGTGATGCGTCAAAAGCTGAGACAAAACCCTGTAATCCATGATGTGGGACCAAATCCTAAACTGGTGGAAGGCAGCTACGCATATCGAGATAATCAAGAGAAGCAAGTGTTGGCCAGCTCTGACACATACAATGCAGAAACATACCTTGCCAAAGAACCAAGACAGGATCTCGCTGCACCTAATTTCTTTACCACACCTCTCCCACCTATCCCAAATCTTCCTCCTCCACCTCAAGACTTCATGCCTCCTGCATCTTCTTTGAGGGCAAGTGGTCCTTGTGCTACCAGGGATTTGCAGGAACCTTTCGGTGAAGCAGAGCGAGGTGGTGTTGATAGCTCACGTGCCCCAGGAAACTTCGATTATGAACGCTTGTCTCATGAGGTTCCAAACAAGGAGCCTTTCTATCCACATGGGGATGGGGCTTCTCACTCTGCTCATGCACCACACCATGCTCCTAATATCCCACCGAATGGTCCATTGGACTACAACCATCAACATCCACCAAGAGTACCTCTGCAGAATCCTCCAAGTATACCCCATCACCGCATTGGTTCTCCTCCTCCAGTAAGGGGTTACCATGAAGCCCCAAGTCCTTCTCGAGCTTTGCCTGAAGATCCGTACTTTGACCCATATTACGACCATCCACCACATAGCCCATCTTCCCCTCATTACGACATGCACCCGATTTCAGCACCAGAGTATTATCCTGAAGAAATACCACCTCACTATCCAGAGCACAGGGTTCCTCCTCATCTGGAGCACAGGCCTCTACCGCCACACCTTGTTCGTCCACCTCACCCTGGGCACTATCCACCTCCAAGGCCCCTTCGTCGGCCACCACCGGTCCACCATGAGCTGCCCTTTCCAAGAGGCAAGCGACCCGGCCCACCCTTTGGTGGACCTCCCAGAGTCAGGGGCCCATTTTATCCCCCAAAAAGACCTTACTTGCCTCCACATTACTGAAGTGTCTATTGTGATTCTTATGCTCAAGTGTTTAGTGCATGTCACAGTGAGCAAGTAAAATCCAAGTGCTGTTGGGTTATCAGCAAGTCAAAGATTGCTGTGGACAATGACGCGAAGGGGATGGTGTTGAACTCCTTCACGAGATCACAACAGAGAAGTGCAAATTTATTCAAGTTACCAGGGGGATGCAACCAGATCACTAAACTCTTGAGCAAGATCTGTTCTGTTCCATGATCAAGACATGTAAACCATGAGCAGTTGTGCGGCAAGATGTCAAGGAGCACTGGAGCAGAGAAATGGAAAGAATATCTGGCGTGGAATGAGATGGAATCTGAAGGCAGACAAAACAAGAGGTGGTTATTCTATTTCATTTCATCAATTCTTTAATTCCTATAGTTTTTCTGTCTAGTTCTATAAAAAAATTCAAATGTAAAAGTTAATTCAAAATGTCCTTTCCCTTAGTAAAAATGTTTGCGCATGTATCTTGCGAATATCCTTGGGAAAGACCTCAACGTTTTTTTTGGAACAACATTTAATTAAGATTGATATGTAATATTTTTTTACTTCTGAAGTTAAGTTCTACTGATGATCAAGCTATATTGTTATGCAAAGCTGGTAGTTTTGATTCACCACATCTTATTTTGTACTTGTAATTAAATGTAGCCCTAACAGGTAGTTAAGCTTCATTATCGTCTGTCATGGAGAAACAGCAGTGTAGAGAAAAAGTAATCTTTACCATTTTGAGGCAAGGTCTTGAGGTGTACAGAGTCAAGCCGTTTTTGCCAACAGTGGCAGAAGACACAGAAGAAAAGAAGTTGTCGGGCAGAATCATCATGGCCTCCCTCAGTTCCCAGAGGCTTTTACTGTACTGATTTAAATAAAGATGTGTTTCAAAACAAAACAAAACACTGTGGGGAAGTGCAGTCTCAACCATGATTTCTTTGAGTCTTTTCATCTCAGTTGCTTCAGTGACTGATTTCTTTGCTCTTCACATTTTCGCGAACATTCATCAATAAAATGAGCAACACATATGCAGAAAAATATTGTAGCTAAATGACTGCAACTCATGTTGATTAGAAATGACTGAGATTTGTCACACACCATATTTAATTCTAGAACCAAAATCAAAGGCATTTAATCCCATTTAAAGTCAATTACTTGGTGTTTAAATAAGTTAATGAATGCCATTTTTATCATAGCATTTTAGCAAACCATTTCTAATAAGCAATGAAATACGAAAATGCATACAGTTAATTCAAGCTAAATTATTCACCTCACTCAAAGCGTTCTATAATCGATCCGTTTCAGTTCCACTTCGGGTTTCCTGCTTCCAACTTAGTGATCCAAAACGCTCCTCTCACATATTCTAGTCTGGTTTGCAGAGCATTTACCTGTTAATTTCTTGCATTTTTACCTCATGTTAGGCTTACATTTGCATACTTTTAACTGTTGAATTTGTCAAATTATATGCAGACACAGTTAAAGATAAAAGCTTTTTTCAAATCAAATAAGGATTTTATCAAGATATAACTCTGGTCATACTTAAATTGTGTGTCTTTCTCTGAAATAAATATAGCATATAAGACAAAGAATTTACACAAGAACTCCTTCCTCTAATATGAGGCTCGTCATAAGCATCATAGTTCCACTTCATTTAATATCACTTATTCTCGAGGATCAGCTGTGGCTGATTGCATGTACACGAATGTTTATGGAGTCAGCTCCTTGAATCAAAACAGGGTAACAACTTCCTGAGGTTTTCCCCCCTTGATTTATACAACAGCAAAAACACGTTAAGTATTAAAGATATTTGCCTCGTTCTTTAGGGAGGATTTTGGCAACGATTAAAGCCATTTTGTCTAATTCCGTTGATTCCGACGTTGTTTCAGAAATTTTTAAGGTCTGGATCACAAAAGTAAAACATTCCAGTACATTTTGAAACTGGCTTTTCTCTGTGCCTAAATAAATCACGTCTTTCATTTTTCAACTTTCTTTTATCAAAAAGAAAAATAAGCAAAATAATTGGATATCTTATTTATTGTGAAATGTTAAATAATGAGAAACTAGCTAAAAAATAACTAAAGTGATGCAGTTGGAAAAATTAAAGGGTTATTTCACCCAAAAATTTAACTTTAACTCGCCCTCATGTCGTTCCAAACCTGTAAGACTTTCGTTCATCTTCTGAACACAAATGAAGAACTTTTTGATGAAATCGTAGAGCTTTCTGTCCCTCCATTGACAGCTACGCAACTACCACTTTGACGCTTCAAAATGTTTATAAAGAGATTGTGAAACTAATCCAAATGAATTGAAATCTGAAAAGACACGATCGCTTTATCTGATGAACAGATTGAATTTAGGCTTTTATTCACATATAAACATTGATCAGCGAACATTGATCAGGCTCAACCGAACCTGCTTGACGCACTAAAACAAACCTTGTACAGAAGCTCAAACATGCTGTGTAACACGAGAATAAACCTCATTGGTTCTTGCGGAAGCTCAAACGCCCTGTGTAACACGAGAATAAACCTCATTGGTTCTTGCGGAAGCTCAAACGCCCTGTGTAACACGAGAATAAACCTCATTGGTTCTTGCGGAAGCTCAAACGCCCTGTGTAACACGAGAATGAACCTCATTGGTTCTTGTGGAAGCTCAAACGTGCTGTGTAACACGAGAATGAACCTCATTGGTTCTTGCGGAAGCTCAAACGTGCTGTGTAACACGAGAATGAACCTCATTGGTTCTTGCGGAAGCTCAAACGTGCTGTGTAACACGAGAATGAACCTCATTGGTTCTTGTGGAAGCTCAAACGTGCTGCGTAACACGAGAATGAACCTCATTGGTTCTTGTGGAAGCTCAAACGCGCTGCGTAACACGAGAATGAACCTCATTGGTTCTTGCAGAAGTTCAAACGCGCTGCGTAACACGAGAATGAACCTCATTGGTTCTTGCGGAAGTTCAAACGCGCTGCGTAACACGAGAATTAACCTCATTGGTTCTTGTAGAAGCTCAAACGTGCTGCATAACATGAGAATGAACCTCATTGGTTCTTGCGGAAGTTCAAACGCGCTGCGCAACACGAGAATGAACCTCAATGGTTCTCGCACGTCAAGCGAACATGCTTGAGCTTCAGTTTACCACAACTGATGTGTGAATTGATGAATATTTATGTGAATAAAAGCCTAAATTCAATCGTGTCTCTACAGAAAATTTTGACTAAACTGCTCGATTTATAAAAGAAGATCTCTTCATGTATTTTTTGGAGCGTCAAAGTGGTAGTTAATGAAGGTACAGAAACCTTTCAGATTTAGTAAAAAAATTCTTAATTTGTGTTCCGAAGATGAACGAAAGACTTACAGGGTTGGAACAACATGAAGGTGAGCAATTGATGACAGTTACATTTTTGTGTGAACTAATCCTTTTAAGTCATTGCTTATAATAGCGAAGTGTTTAAAATCATAAAATAAGCATTAAATTGCTTAAGACCTGTTAAAGCTGAACAGTTCACTAATTGCCTTAATATTTAATGTCTACATTCTAAAAACAACAGATGTAGAAATATGCAAAACACAAATAGGTAATATTTACATATGGTCGTCAGCAGGGGGAGACAACCCTGAAAGTTGTCCTGGGCCCTGTGCCGAGGGGAGCCCAATCGGTCCTGGTATACTCATTGGATTCTGTACCCTACAACAAAATCCTCATCAAAACTAGCTCATGCATTTTGCTGTTCATTTTAATGAATGTGCCAAACGTTAAATTTTTCTTCAGAAAAGAACACACTCATGGCAAGAAAACATCTGGTGTTGAGCAAAGTTCTTTATAGTTTCACACCAGGGGTTTTCAAACTCCCTTTTCGCCCTCTGAGGTTCCTGCTTTATACGGCTGATCTCCTCTTTCATGGAAAACAGCAGATGTGCATGAAGAGAAGAGTTTTGAAATACCTGACAGTAAACGATAACCTAAATTCTTGAACTATTCTTTAAGGTCATAAATCGTTTCCAGAAATACAGTCATAACATATTAATGTGTTGTGATTTGGTAGAAAGATCTGATGAAAACGCTGCAGATTAGTATTAATTATCAAGGACCTAAAACACGTTTTTTTTGTTGTTGTAGAAATTAAAGAAATATTGGCCAGGTTTCACAGACAGACTAAGCCAGGTATAGGCCTTAGTTAAATTACGACATAAGTAGCTTTTATAAACGTGCCTTAGAAACAAACAAAAAAACTTTACTGGTGTGCATCTTGAGACAAAACAAGGGCACTGACCTTTTAAGATATCTCAGTGCAAGTTGCTTTCAGTTAAGACAGCTCAAAGCATGCATTTTAGTCTGGGACTATAGGCTTAAAGGGATATTACGCCCCAAAAATTCGGTCGTCGTTTACTCACCCTTATGTTGTTTCAAACCTGTATGAGTTTCTTCCGTTGAACTCAAAAGAAGATTTCTTTGAAGAATGTTGATAACCAGACAGTTGACGGTAGCCATTGACTTGCATAGTATAGGAAAAAAATACTATGGAAGTCAATGCTATTGCTTGGTACCATCAACTGTCTGGTTACCAACATTCTTCTAAATATCTTCTTTTTAGTTCAGCAGAAGAAAGTAAGTCATACAGGTTTGGAAAAACATATGGGTGAGTAAATTATGTCAGAATTTTCATTTTTGGGTGTACTTAACCCTCTGTGAAACTGGGCAATTGAGGTTTAAATGAATGTTTAGACTAAACTAAACATTATATAATCTGCTTGTACTTTTTACTGACTGTACAGAATGTAATGTGCACACAAATAAATACACGTGAGAGAACATAATGTTTATTAAAGTTAGCTACATTATTTCTTAATTTATAGATTTATTTACAGAAATTGAGAAGGGCCAGAGTTCAACGGTTATAGTTTTATTTGCATTCCATTACTATTTAAAAACAAAGGTTTTTAACAAAGGCCTTTCTCATTAATATTCAAAGTTTTTTTGAATTTCTAACGTAGGCGTATTGACAAAAAACAGTAAGGGTTTACCATGAAGCACTCCAATACATTAGGAAGTCAAACCAAGTGTCTCGTCATGTCCTCGGGTTTCAGTAAGATCGAATATGATAGGCTACCTATTCGAATTTCTTTGCGGGGAAAAAAAACACTCGCATAACACAAAAATAATATCAGGATGTTATTTTAGAGTTTCTGAACTGGAAATAAGAGACAAAACCCTTTTAAACATATCATTATCATAGGTTATATTATAGGCATAATTAGTTATAATACGCAATGATTCGATTTAAAAGACGACATATGCATAATTATTATAATTTCCGTTGTCAAATTATTATATTAATATAATATAATTAGTGAAATCAATATTTTGATTTATAATTAAATATCATAAAACCAAATCCATTGGCTAATTCTACACCAGTACATTTTACAGGACTGAAGATAATGTTTAACAGTGATGTTGAGGTTTTTCATTCATGTTCTGCAGTTCATCAGCTCGCCTCGTCTGTTTATTTTACGTAGCGTAAGCCTACTTAATTCAATTGGTTGTTGTGAGGGACACGCCCACATACGCGAAGCGCGCGTGCTCTGCACGTTTCAAGTGCAACATTTGTTAATCCGCTTGAATGCTAAACTTCCCACAGCAGCACGTGCAGTGTGGGATTCGATCCATGAAATTACCCACCCTCGAGTCGTCATACACAGTTAACTCGAAATTAACCCTGAATTCAAATAGCCTATTAAAATAAACGCTTTGCTCAAGTAACCAGTGCTTTTGTTCTTCTTTGCATGATCATGCATTGATAAATATAACTAATGCGAGCCACTGTTCGATAGAATTTCATACTTTCCCTTCACATGTGTTTGAAACTGAACAGAAAATATATAACTATGCAACTGATACTAGATGCATACATGTAAGGGTGTGCTCTCTATCAATGTTTTAATACTTCTCCCCCCTCCTGTCCTTTGTCTTTTAACCCAATCAACCTTTTGTTTTATTTGACTTCCCCTGTCCATCCTCTATGTATGCAGATCTTCTGGTGAAGGAGAATCCTTTTTGTCTGCCCAGCAACAGCTGTGCTTGAGGGGACATCCAATGCCCTTGTATCCCATCCGCTTGCAAATCAAGGTAAAGGATATGCTGTTGCACACTGCACACTAAGTATGTCTCGCTTATCCTTTTATATTTGCCATAACTAAATTGTCTCAGGCGGCAAGTCCACAGCAAAGCATGGCACTATAAAGTCAGTGGTGCATTTCAAGTGGTAAAATGCACAAGTTTTTCCACGGCAATGGACAAAATGTAATGTTGTCTTAAAGTTATTTGTTATTACAATGGATGGTCATGGTCATTGGTAAAGTTGTTTCCCAACTCAGGCCTTCAAATGCATTAAACACAGTGGAAAGTTAGAGCTCTATCTCCCTCTACTGGTACAAAGGGATCTTAACTTTATTGCTGAAGGCAACTATCATAGCTTGCTCTCTTCTTAGAGGTATTTATTTGGGCTTATTTTTTTCCGGATCTTGCAATGAAGATGCAGACAATTTTGTGCCTAAATATTTTGTTTAGACAAAAAGATGCCAATATTTTTTGTGAATGGATGCGTAGGAGCATGTAAGCCTATAGTTATAGTCTATATCCCAGAACTGACTGGTTATTGCTTGAAAGAATGCACTTGGTAAAGGTCAGGGTATATGCGACCTTTATGCAAGTTCACTTGAAGCGAGTGGATATAATATCACGTTTCATACCTCACAAACATATAAAGGCCTCAAGCAGCTTGATATGAATTTCTAAGAATGGATAGAAAGGAAGCTACTCACAAATTATGAAAGCAGTTTGTTTATCATCCAGATTTATTTGCTCTTGATAAAATATATATTAATCGTGTGGGACATTACATTGAATTGAATTGATCTTCCTGCTTTTTTGACACAGACTTCGACCATTGACAAGCTCTCAGTGCTGCAATACTGAAATAACCAGCAGATGTCGTCGTTAATTCAACTGTCTGGTATAATCAGTTGAGTCATCTGTGATTGTAAGTGCGTACTCTCGTGTACGCGAATGAGTCGTGCTTTGAGATATAGTATAGAGGGTTTTTTGTCTTAATGTGAGGTTATCAACAGAAAGATGCGTTTTTAAGTCATATGGGTTTTTGGGTCAAGGGTTAAAGTAGCATTGGCGGATTTAGGGGCTCGTGGCAGATGGTTGCCAATCCCTGTAAATTAACACAAGTACTCTTTGATTGAGTTTACCCTAAGAGACAGCCGGATATAGCCTATATAGGCTACTGACCAATTGAACAATTACAGATGCACTTGATGTCTTGGAGGATGTAAATCGAGCACACTGTGTGTGATGTTGTCTATATCACCTCCTTATTTTATTTAGTCAGTTTTTTGTTTTTATCAATCGAGAATGAATTAAAAATGAATTCCCTGATAGAACGCGCTCTGAGATAGAGAAATTACTCGACCACATTGTGAGGAAAGCACGTAGTTTATGTGGGCGTTAATTTGCGAGGAAACATGATTTGGCTCAATGTAGTTTCAGCACCGTGGTCAGAGCTCGACAGAACAAAAGGCGGATTAGAGTCCTTGATATCAGGGACCGTCCAAATGTTACATGCAAACGCAAAAAGCGAACACTAAAATAAAGCAGTAGCGAACCATAAAGCTATTTATATCACTGTAAATTTCCATTAAATAAAACGTGTTCATTTGTTTTTTGTTTGTTTCTTATTGGATCCTGGTTCTTCATGGATAGAGAACGTGCAGTTTCGTTAACATTATTATTGTTTTTTTTATAAATAAAGAAAGTGTTTGCTATTGATTATTTATTTGTTTTAATTGATTATTGATTTGTTGTATGCTTATGAAAAATATGCCCCTTTGTCCATTGTACTCAACCCATTCTCCGTGAAACCAAGAACGCCTGTTAAATGTAATTATAGTACTGTACTACATTTATTAAAAGGTATTTCGGAACAATCAGCATTCATTTGGAGAAAGTAGCCTATTAAAAAAAACGATACATTTTTATGCATAAAGTTGCAGTTTAAGATTTTAAGTCTTAAATGTGAGGTATGCATCACGAAAACAAAACTTATTGTAAAACAGTTGCGATTGTGAGATATAATAGTTCAAATACAAAAAGAAAATAGTCTCAATTGTGAGATATAGCCTACTATAGGCGCGATTTGGAGAAATAAAGTCATGATTACATTTTTCTTTTTACTTCCACAGTGAAATGAAAAGGACAGCTGTTCGTATTTGACAGCACCCAATGGTTTGTGAGAGGAAAATTTAGACGCTCCCTTAATCCGAGTAAGCATCACGGTTTCCACACCCCGAGGGAGGACAGGAGATGGACAGGAGGGGGACACCGGCTTTCGACGTCAAAAGCTACGGGTTATACGGAGTGTCAACACCGTGAATATAGGCTACAGCATTACCGTGCGTCTTCTTCACTGCCTCTGCATTAAAACGTGAGTGAAATCCATTTTATTTGCATTTAAACTTCTATTGATTCATGCATGTATTCTAGTCAACAGGAGATATTTGAGAGGGCACAGAGAGACAAAAAAACCAAGACGATTCAAGGGTGACAGATGCACGGATTTAGTTGAATGTACAGTGGTTTGCGTTCAAGCCATCCGCTCTCCATCAGCTCTCTTTATCAGTGCACGTAGAATATCAGACCATATTCTACAACCAGACAAATAAACAAACATCCCCTTGGGATTAACAAAAGAGAGAGAGAGGGAAGGAAACGAGAGCAAATTTCGCCTTTGCACACACACCAGAGAGCTCGTAAGATTTGAATAAACTTCTTTCAGTGTTTAATGATTTGAAGGCGTGAAGTTGCATGGATAGTTGCGTGTTTTTGTTCTCTGTCATGTATGTGCGTATGTGGTGTCGTGACAAAGAGCCACATACGCCTGAGCCTCCAGTGTGGATTAAACAAAGAAGCAACGGGGATATCCGTCAATATTTATAAGCATTTTTATTATATTGCATTCAATTTTAATGTGCTCTATTGCCAGAGCTCGTAACATAAGCTCCTTTGTTCTACTATAATATTTGATTCTCTTAAAATTCCTTTATAGAAGCCACTCTTATCCAATGTTTTGATAACACGTTATAATAGCTTAAATTATTGATATTTACTTTATATAATGTATTCATTTAAACATATCATTAGTGTATATTGAAATAGCTAGAAATGTTATTATATTTACACCACAGATATGCTAAGCATTGTATGATTTTTGACATTTCAGTGCTTTTAGCATTGTATTGAAATCCTTATTATCCTCCATAATATTATGCAATTAATTCAACAATGCAACCAATCAACGTACTAATTCAGTCAGACTTTGTTTAGTAGATTATTTTAGCTTTGGTGTGCTATCTGTTTTTATTTATAAACGTCATAACTTGTAAGATGTCCCCATTGTGTGAGAATTTCACCATTCAAAATCGACCGACATGGAAGATTGTAATTCTGGCAAACCGAATGGCGATTGGTGGCTTTTCTTTTATCATTTGCATATTGAATTGTGATTTGTCTTTCGTTCTTACAGCTAGTTAAAAGTAGCTACCTCTTCATATTGCAAACGCGGCTGAGGCCGGGAGGTCTTAAAAAGTTGATGTTTTACATTTAATGATGCATATTAATTGATTTTAAAACGTTTCTACAAGTTAGTCGGTGCCCATATTTTTCGTATATTCGCTCACGAGCAGAAATGGTTTGAAGAGGTAACCATAGCAACAGTAGACCGCTCCAGCACACTTTATCGCACGCGCACGGTACAATTGCAAAACTTAAACACACTTTATTCGTTCTATATATCATAATTATATGATAAAAGCTTTAGTTTTATGTTTAAAGGCTCTGTTCAAATACTTGGCTAACTGTGCTGTAAAATTCCCCTCCTGACGGTCTTTATATTTCACAGATATATGATCAAATCTATTAGTGTTATGTTTAAAGGCTCTTTCAAATACTTAACGTTAACGTTTGGCTAACTGTGTTGTAAACCGAATAAAATTCCCTGGCGGTCTTTAATGCTTTACTTTGGCTACTTTACAAGCATCACATGTCCTTTTACAAATATAAATCTTGTTAATTATAAAGTGTTAGCGAGTATTTGAGCGTTATGTGTTTTGTTTTACGCAGAGCTGTCACGGTTCAAACCTTTTCCACCGGGACTCGAGTTTAACACCGCGACTCTTCCTCCGCCGCTGAGCCGCTCTCCAGTGCTGAAACCCCGGGCGCAGCTGTCGCTCCGTCCCCTTAGGAAACTGTCCTAATGAAGGAGGCCGACGCCATCAAGCTCTTCATTGGCCAGATCCCGCGGAATCTGGAGGAGAAGGACCTGAAGCCCATCTTTGAGCAGTTTGGGAAGATCTATGAGCTCACGGTGATCAAGGACAAGTACACGGGAATGCACAAAGGTAATTAAACGAGATTGACGCGGCAATATTGAACGGACAGTCTCAAGAGGAGACGGAAGACTATAATGGTGCTAGATGAGATTCCTTTTCAAATCTGAAATGGAGATATGTCTCTTGAAGAGAAAAGTCTCTTGTACTGCATCTAATGAGGACACATACTGTGTTATAATGTGTAGAAACTTTAACCTTTAGTTTGACACAGCATTCATTTCCTTCTCTTTCATTTTGAGTTTGCTTCCAATGGTCTAGCTTTCTAAAGAAATCTATTCACATAAAGTGCATCTGTGGTCAGAAAGCAAATTCAATGTTTTTTCCACTTCTTAGTCACAGTTGTCAAATCCTTTTATGTTCGCAAAACACTGCTTAATATTCATGGACTGTCTAGGTTTTGCTATATTTTTATTTATACATCCCACATTGTATTCTTGTTCCTTCTTCAGGATGTGCGTTCTTGACATACTGTGCGAGGGAGTCAGCCTTGAAGGCCCAGAATGCACTGCACGAGCAGAAGACATTGCCTGGGGTGAGTTGTCGCTGTTGATGACGTGAACGCAGAGACGGGCTGTATAAAAAATTGATTTGTTTAAATCAGACAAACATTTCCAATTGTCTATATTTAGCAGACTGCATATAGAATAAATCTTTTATCATAAAGCACTTCTAGCAGGGGGGGACATGAAGTTGCTTCTAAAAGTAGAAACAACACATTAGATGGTTCAGGAAACAGGATCTGTGGAAATCTGTGTTGACTGAACAGACTTTAATTAGGTATGTAGGAGGGCACAATCCTTGAAGGCATCCGCGATCATGTCGCTCTCTGAAGTCGTTGATTAGCTGTTAGGCCATCTGCCGTGCCAGAGCCGTGACGGGCAACCTGTAAACTCCGAAACCTCCAATCTCTTCATCTTTTTTTAATGCCTTTTTATGTTTTCATCCGTAAATCACCTACTTTTTTAGATTTGCCAGATGTACTGGATCATTATGAGCGATGTTGCGAGTCGAATGTTCTTGACGTCAACGTATAGAACTCGAGGATGAGATTATATGGTCTGTATTGAGATTTAATGAGGAATTAATACAACTATACGCTCAGTGCTCGCATGATGTTTTTTTTGTTTTTTTCCTGTTGATCAGACTTGAAGCAAGCAAACCCACAGGGAATCTTTTGCTTCCCCTCAGATTCTATTTAAGCGAGTTTAATTTGCACAAGAGGAAGCTGCATGCGAAGACGCCGTAAAAGCAGAGACACGATGTGGACTGAGCGGCTAAACAGAAGCTTCTGGTGCATCTGAACAGACTCCGAGCCAATTGTGGTCCCACCAGACGTAGGCTAATGAAGGGATATATGACTTTATTACTCCGTATGTCACATCACGTAACATCGAAGACTGGCTGAGTAGTGTTAGAAGCGACAAAATTAAATCGAAGTGAAAGTGAAAGAAACCACGTTCTGCCTTAGTTTCAGAGAACCAATGTTTGCGAGCATCTGTTTAGATTGTTTTTCCTTATGGTGCGTAACGTTATGCGCATGTGTGCTTAAGAGTAACTCCAGAACAAATCCCATTATTAGCATGACAGTAGTCTGACCTTTGCGACCTCTCCAGGCGTAGATCAGCGGGTTCCCTCGGCTTTAAATCCTCTCTCCTCCTTCTCTGTCCCTCCATCCTTCTATTAGTCTACCCCCCTCACCTAAGCCTGGTAAGACGGTGTTCAAGCCTCCCCCTGAGGTACGAAAGGGAACCATGTTATTAAGAACTACAGCCCCCCCCCCCCTCTCTTAAAGAGAAATCTCTCTTCCTCTTTCTCTGTCTCTCTCTTTCATTCTTTTTTCACACACACGTGGAAAGCCCAGCTGTGTGGCATTATTACCAGCTCATGGCACCTGCCATTCAGAGCAAGCCCCGCCCCCAGCCTGTCAATCATAGCGAATCGCTCCGGCAACGCCGCATGATGTGTGTTTAGAGTGCGTGTGCGGGTGAGATAGGAATTGTTACCACGACGAGGGGAGAAAGACAGATAAGATAAGACCGAATTTGGCTTGGAACCTTAATTTCTCACTTTTTCTCTTTTCCCCCTCAGGCTTTGTTCACACTTGGCTGAATTCAGATTTATTTTCCAGATTTGATCTTTAAGACTCACTGTTTGTATTGTCAATTTGCGAGTGATGAAAACATATCCGCCTGTTCAATTGGTGTAAGTAAAGGGATAATTCAACCAAGAATTACAATTTTATCATCAAACCTCCTCCTCCTGCAAAACGCAAAAAGTTTTTTCGGTCCATATTTTGGATCCCGTTGGGTTTTATTACAGTTTTATTTTAGTATAATTTTTATAGTATTTAATAGTATTTTGAATTAGGTTTTATTTCGTATATTTTTAGTTTTCATTTTAGTTTCAGTAGTTTATGTGCTTTTGGCATTTCATTTTATTTGTATTTTAGTAATTTTTGTACTTCAACTAAATCTTATTTAGGTTTTTAAATTAAATTTCTTTATCTAATATTTATGTATTGTTTTATTTCAGATTTATTTCAATTAATGTAAACAATCTTTAATCTTTGGTTTTAGTCACTTTGGACAAAAACAATTTAAACATTCTTCAAAACATCTTTTGTATTTTGCAGGGTGAGTAAATGATTCCAGAATTTTAATGTTTGGGGTGAATTATACCTATTAATATTAGCATTTTCTACATAACTTGCTATAATAACAACTTAGTGTTCACTTTCTTCTACAACCACTGAGAGTAGCTATCATTGGGGAATTAGTACACAATTCCCCCAAAATTCCCCAACACAATGAATTTGGATCACAAGAATGTTGTGTTATTTGTATATACTGTGTATTACTTGTTGTTTGCATGTGTGTACTAGTTTTCACAAAAGCGCAAGGTCTAGAGACTGAACTCATTTAAAAACTGAACTCATTTTAACTTGAGTTCCACGATGTTAGACTGCCGTGTCATGCGCGGGACGCTGCAAAAGACGTGAACGCAGCGGTTAAAGACGTCTGTCTACCGCGTGTTTACATTGAAAAAATAATGGAAAGTAGCGCAGTGGAATGGGAAAACACGTTCTGTCTAAACAGTCCTTAACTCTTGTCTCTCCCACTCTCATTTTATACTAAAGACAATTCTCATCTGTTGAGTGGACCTCGAGGGTGGATGAGAATTGTCTTTAGTATTAAATGAGAGTGGGAGAGACAAAAGTTAGGTGTCATTCGAGCGGTCCACTGTGTTGTCTTTATTTACACATAGTATTCAAAGCCACAAAGAAAAGGCAGTATTCTTAACTCTGAATAAATATATAAATATACAAATAAACAAATCCATAAATAAATCCTAACAGTATGTATTCAAATGTTTCAGGCTCTTTCACACAGCAGGCTGATCTCAGGTAGGTATCTCAGGCCCTGCTTACACCTGTTATTACGATGCATTTTGGTCGATCAGATCACAAGTGGACGACACTAAATACAGGTGTAAACGGGGTCTAAAACGTTTTGAGCTTGTCCACTTTCTACCACTTCCAGAGGTAGTCAAAAAAGCATTCGACAGGATTGCTTTCGTAGTGTAAACACTCGTGGTTAAATGCGCTCGAACAGCCACAAAAGACCGCCTACTCTTCGTCTACTGATCTAATGCGTAAACATAATGGGAAGCGCTTGCCAGACGCAACTTCGTCGGCTGGAGACCCAAGAATGGTTTGAAGACGAAAAACGTACCAAGCGTGATGTTTTCTCACCATTCCTGATTTCTAAGGTCTTGCGGCGTTCAGAGGAGAAACGAAAGCTACTGCTCTCCGTATGTTTTTTTTGTTTTCTGTGTTCATATGTAAATTGCGTGAGCTTATTTAGTTCATTAGTTCAAAAGATCTGAAAAAGCCCATACATTTACCCGCCCATAGACCCTCCCTTTGAAGAAATCAGGACAGAAGTGGTTGAAAGTGGACAAAAGAGACGGATTAAAACACCAGGTGTAAACGAATATGTATCTGCCTTGTGATCCGATCGACCAAAGCGCATCTTAATACCAGGTGTAAACAGGGCCTCAGGTCACCAAATCCGGTAAATGATACACTAACAGACTTCTCTATGACATAACTATGAGCATTCAATTGAAACACAATAGTTGGATGTTAAAGCATTTAAATAACAGTTTTTATTCTCTGAAATTTTATGATTTTTCCTAACCTTTAGTATTAAATGAGAGTGAGAGACAAGAGTAAGGTGTTATTCAAGTGGTCTTCTGTGTTGTCTGAGGATGCGCTACAGTCTTCATTGTAACTCTCAAACTCTCAGAATTTAGAAAATGCAGCTTAATTCCCTTATATATACATACATACACTCATTATAACACCTTAATGTAATATTAATACAAGTAAATACTAGTACACACATGCAAACAACAAAAAATATACAGTATATACAAATAACACACCATTCTTGTGACCCAAATTCAATGTGGACACACACTTATGTACATCATGATATCTTACCATGATGCTGAACTCATGAGGTGCATTTTATTCATGAATTTGTGTCTAAAACTGCTGTCTTGTTCACACACTCACTAATCACTACATAGTGAAACTCACAGAGTTCACTATATAGGGAAAGAGTGATAAGTGAATTTAGATATTGCATATGCCATTACATACACACATTGTGTCCTGAATGACAAAAAAAAAACAGTCTTACAAATTTTTGAAATTGAAATTCTAAACATACATTTGTGTTTCGGGTTTGTAATAATCATGTTTCATGCAATTGTTTGGACTGCTGTTTAGGCAAGCGAAAAATGCCTTACAAAAAAACATTCCAATATTCTAATTTCGCTACTATTGAAACTCTGAATAAAAGATCAACTGAGAGCAATGTATTGAAGGGAGAGGTTAAGACAGACAAGGGAGGAGGGGTTGAACAGATGGCATGGCTGGAGTGGCACCTGGCCTTATGTTTAATTTCAGGTGAGAGGCTCGCAGTGATTGTAGACAGAGGAGGAGAATGGAAACCTGGAGTCCTCTTTCTGGTTTTCCAATCCCATGGTCTCCTCCTCCTCCCCCTCCTCTTATCTTTCCCCATCTCTCCTATCCCTATCGTTGCCATCCCAACGTGTTTGCTTAGCTCTGTTTATCACACGGCCCCACTTGCACGGGCACAACAAAGCGGCGGGCGATACTTCAGCCGCTCACGTGTTCCTTAAAGCTTTTAAACATACACATAAACACCTTCGTTGGTTTGTTTCCTCTATTTTATAATTGGCCACATCTCAAATCGTACTCTTTTTGGCCTCCTCTTAGCATTTAAAAAAACTGCAGCTAGTGCACTACAAGGCTAAAAAAAAACAGATGAATTTGGAAGACAGTTGTTGTGTTGGCGATTTATGGTATAATGTGACTCAGCTGGATCCTATCTGACTTCAGTTAAGATAAATATCAGCTTTCACACTGAGTTTTTTGTGGTTTGTTTTATCTGCTATCTGCTGTTTCAGGAACAGCTTTACTCTTACTCCTGCCTCAGCCAC